AGATTTTTAAGGTTTTACAATCTTGAACTGGGCATGGTGGCACACACCTGTAATCCTAGCTATTTCAGAGGCTAAGGCAGGAGGACTGCAAGTTCAAGTCCAGTCTGGGCAATTTAGCAGGATGCTATTGCAAACTAAAATTAAAGGGAGAGCTGGGGATGTAGCTCCATGGCTCACTGGTAGAGCACATGTCTAGATTGTGTAAAGCCCTGGGTTTAATCCCTAGACAAAAAAAGCTTTACGAACTTTATGTCATTTGATTTGATTTGTTTGTTTGCAGTGCTGGGAAAGAACCCAGGGCCTTGTTCATGCTAGGCAGACATGCTGCCACTGAGCTACGTCCCCAGTTCCTGCATGTGTACTATGGACTTAGAAGGAGGCCATTCCTATGGCCTTGATGTTATAGATAAGAATGCTAGGGTTCAAAGATATAATGTGGTTTGCTCAAGATCAAGAAGTCATGCACTAGGAGAGCTGGTCATCAAATCCCTTTTTCCTTCAAGGCCCCTGAGTCTGTCCCCTACTTGGACACATACAGGTGCTACAGTGTTACAGCCATGAGAGACAAGAGCAGAAATCAGAGACCAAATGCTTCCATTCAAAATTTTGTTTCTAGCAGTTTTGTCTGGGGGAAAGAAAAAAATAAAAAAGTGACTCTTGGCTTGTTTTCCTCCCTCATGTTTCTTGTTCCCAAAATCCCTACTTTAGGCCTGCAGTCTGCACTGTAATTCAGCCACATTCTTGACAATTACAGTTCTAGGGGATTTTGAAAACAAATCATGGGTTACAATGAAAACACTGTATGAGTTTGGGCTGTCCTATTCTAATTGTTTCCGTTTTTTAATAAAGGAAAATAAAATGGTACTATTCTGCAGGGAGTAACCCCGATGCTCTTAGAAGCCACCCACATTGCTGAAAGAATGTTAAGCTTGGTGAATCTCACAGGATAATTGGGAGTCTAGATGTGGCTGTCCAGTGAGGCCTGTGGGACGCTGGAATGGGGAAGTGTGGCCAACTACCCCAGAAAGGAAATGTCTCCCTGGGGAGACGCACAAAGTTGGCTTCACCCTCTCCTTCTTCCTTGTTCTACGCTCAAGACTTTGTTCACATCCAGGATTAAGCAGAAATCATCAGATAAGAATAATCATCTTTGGGCTGGGGATTTAGCTCAGTGGTACCATGCCTGCCTTGAAAGCCCAAGGTAATGAGTTTAATCCTCAGTACCAAAAAAAAAAAAAAAAAAAAAAAAAAAAAACAAGAATAATCATCTTCTCTCCAATGGAAATATTTTCTCAGCCTCCCAGCTCCTTTCCTTAGGACTCAGGGAGGTATCGTATCCTTTCATCTCCACAAGTGCCCACATCCTTTCTCTTTCCACCTGTCCATCAGAATCACCACTCTTTCCTTTTCTTCTGGGTCATTCCTATCACTGAGCAAACTTGCTCCAGTTACTTACATATTTTAGCAACCTCCTGTGTATTCTGACAAGGTAAAATTAGACATGGTTACAAGCAACAGAAATAGAAAATTAAACAAGACAAAAATTTATTTCTCTCATATGCAAAGTTAAGAGGTATGTGGATCAGAATGTTTGGTGATGTAAACATTAAGAGCCCCCTATTTATTCTAATTTGTTCCAATAAAACCTTTAACTCATGGCTTCCACTAGAGACCAAATGGCTGGCAGAGTTCTAGCCATGTATGCATATATCTCAGTGAAAGAAGCTGAAGAACAGTTTCCCTTTAATGCCAATTTAGAATTTGCACAGGGAACCCTTTACTTCTTATTGGCTGGAATGGAGTCACATGACCATTCCTAGCTCCAGGAAAGGCTTAGAAAGCTGCCTTTATTTGGGAAGCCATCTGGTCAGATAGCATTGACAAATTTATTAGGGCCATCTAGCAACCTCCACCTAAGGCTCACAAACTTCCTAGATCCTCCCTCTCAGTTCTGTTCATCGAGTGGCTAATAGGCATCTCAAACTCAATGTGCCAAAACTGAATTGTTCATGTTCCTCCCTGAGATGGTCACTTTCCTCTGGGTGATCTCATCCAGTAAACGCACTGCTCACCTGCTCCTCGGAGTTAAGAGAAAACTTGAAAGTTACCCTGCTTTCACCACCTTCTCCTCCTATATCCCTGCTACAGTGTCAGTGTGTCCCATTAAGTCCAAACTTGCCTAACTACTCATCTTAGCACAGCTGCTACTTTGGCTCAAATCACTGGTCATCTTTGACCTGGACTGAAGCAATGGTTTAATTGGTTCCCTACTGTCATTTTTGCCTGACACCCACTAAATTTATTCTCCTCACAGCAGTAAATCAGAACCTGTTAATCTTCTGTTAAAACCCAAAGAGTCCCCATTCCTCAACACAGCCCACAGGCCCTGCATGACCTGGCCCAGCCCACCTCCCCACTTCATCCAGGCCTCTTTGCCCGGCCTGATGTGTTAGACAGTGATTTTCCTTTGGCTTTTGCACAGCTGATCTTACTTTGTCAGGGGCCTTGGCACCACAACTCTCAAGGTCTCTCGGCTAACTTTCCCCTAAGGGTATCTTCATTCTTTTGACTCTTTCAACATCACCTCCTCAAAAACCCTTTCCCTGACTGCTGCTCCATCTAGAAAAGCTCTCATGTTCTGTTCCAGCCCTACTTTTGTTCCTATATTTACTTCAACTTGCAATTATTCATTTGCCTTTTACACTGAAAACAAACTACGTGGAGCAAGAGGCATTGGCGGCTGTATCCCCAGCTGGGAAACAGGACAAGCACCCACCAAACACCCAGCGCAGAACGTGCTTAAGGTGACTGCCAGGACAGCTTCCTCGGAAATGGGTTCTTGAGCTATTGGGATGAGGGATGTCCAAACAGGCAGGCTGCGTCCCTTTAGTTAAAACAAACAGAAATGGACTGAACAGTTGCCATGCCAAGATTTTATCTTTACATTGGACTTAAGCTCTTGATGGCTTGTGCGAAAATGTGGCGCGCCTCCTTCTAGCCCCGATGACGGAGGGATCGCTGCTTTGCATTACTCCGCAAAGGAGACAGGCAGGCCTCGGGCGGGAGGGCCCACACCCTGCCTGCTCCTCGGCTTCCCCACGGCCGAGGGTTGGTCCAGTCCTGCGTCTCAGCACAGGTGAGGAGCAGATTTTAGCAGGCCAGGAAAGCAAGGTTGGTATTTTTAGCATCAAGGCTATAAGTAGCGGCTCGGCTCGCAAAGAAAAAAAAATCTTCATTTACTCTGCCCTTTCGCGTTAAGACTCCTCCCGTCCTCTGCTTCCAAGGCTTGGCAGGAGGAGCGCCTTCCACCTTCAAAACAGCCATCTTCCTCGCTTCCCCGCCCAGGCCCCTTGCACCCCTCGAGACTTGGCTTCCCACAGCTCCCGCTTCTCCCCCGCTCGGCTCGGCCCAGTCAGGAGAAGGCGGTGGTCGCATACACCCGCCCAGATCTACACTTAGCCCGCGCGTCGGGAACCTCCTGGAGCCGGACAAGGGGGCTGGCCGGCAATCTAGCCTCTGCTCTGGTTAGCGATCCACCCCCGGGGCTCCGCAGGGCCCAGACGCGGGATGAGCGGCGAGAGAG